TTCGAGAGTTTAGCTAAAGCGATTGCTGAGGCTGCTACTACTGTTGCTTCTAATTCGAAGAAACCGAAGAGCAAACCAAGTGGCAATGCTAGTTCAGGGACTAAAGCAAAGCCTTTGCCTTTTAAATCCGAAACTAGAGTTGCGGATCAAATTAAAGTTGAGACCGGTGCAGTGGTTCCGTGCTTCTACATTTATACAAAGGAAGAGAACGTCTCAAAAGATGTCGATCGTTTATCCATGAATTATTCGTCCATGTCAACTAAGGATAAAGAAACAGGCAACAATGATGAGATCGAATCCGGAGAAACTTGGGAGGATGAGAAATATGAATATGACAAAGCCCTGAATGCAGATAGAACTTACCTTAAGTTCAAAAAGCGGCTGGATGCAAACCCAGAGCAATGTTTCAGGTACTTGTAATTCGCTCGTATCTAAGCTTCAAGATCTTCCTGGACGGTTTGAACATCGGTATCGGTCTAACTTTCTCTCATGGTCAGGTATTCGTATGGAGGTAAACCATTACTGGCCATCGAAGACTTAAAATTTCCTGATAAATGCAGACATTGCGACTCTCCAATGCTCTTTGAGATGCAACTCATGCCTCCAGTAATATATTTTCTACATGAAGCTGTTGTTGATGAAGGGATTAAGCAATCATTGGATAACTGGGATTGGATGACACTCATTCTCTACACTTGTTCCAAGGTATTATTCTCACATATATTCCAATGGATCAAAGCAAAATCTTCGAAAAAAGTATTATTTTGGTTTCATTTAGAGCTTAATGATTACTGTTTTGTAGCTTTGCGCAAACGCTGTGAATGGCGATTGGGTTGTTGCTGAGAAGTGCATAGCAGTACAGTATGAGAAACCGATGAATCTTGATCATGCTAGCTTCTTCAAATGAATAAATTTCCGCCGCTGGCTAATCCTCTTGTTATAGCTCAGAATCTGGACAAAGATTTGAATTTTTTTATCAAGAAGTCAAATGCTCCATGGAAATATCTTCTTCAACTGTTTCAAGACAGAGCTGCTTCAGAAACAGTTTTTTTTTTTTTTTTGTGTTGAAAGAGTTTTGGGTGAGACAGGACTGATTTTTTTTTTAATATATATGTAAAATATGGATTGTTTAAATTAAAAGACAGATTATTAATTCCGATTTAGTTCTCTCTAAAGTCAATGTATGTGTTACGCAAGAATCGTTCAAACCCAAAAGTGTGATCTGCATCTCTTGATGCGAGAAACATGGCGCCAA